AGGTAAGTTTATAAAAATTTAAAAAAAACGTATTTATAGAAAAGGCAGATGGAATCTATGTTATGGTGGGGGGAAAATATCTGAGGCCGAGATGCCATGTCGAGACCAATAATATTACCGTGGTATAATTTTAACATGTATAACTATAGATAGGTTTAGGATAAGTTACAACAAATTTCATATCGTAGAAAATGAAGTTGAACATCGAATAGGTCGTGTTGAAGGTAGATTCGCCAAACACTTCAGATTGGTACAAAACCAAAACATTAACATGAAAATTATAGAAATTACATTCATCGAGATTTTCAATATGGATGCCATATATGACGCCAAAACCGTACAGAATGATCTAATCTGTCAGCTGCATACAAGCGATTTCTTTGATCACGCAGTAAAAATGGTTTTGAACCAGTGAACTATGTTGGAAACGGCGAAAAACCACACTTTTCGTAACCTGGTGGACTGGCGCTACAGGATCACAAATAAAAAAAAAATGCACCAAATAACAGAAACCACTTCATTTTGATGACTTTCAGCAGATGTAACAGCTAAAATGGATAGACTATTTGATTCGAAGAAAAAATGATGGCATAATAACACTACTAATTTAAAAAAAAAAGATTAGCTTGAAATCGTCCATCAATACTGGAAAGAGCTATAACAGCCACTGTACTTTTAAATATTTTCCTGAAAAATTGTTTTAAGAGAAATATTTTATAAATTTCAGCCGATAGCGGTATTGGCTGCACGATTGATAAAGGCTGTGTGTTTCGTTATAAGGAAAAGGTCTATTAATATCCTTATTACACTAATTTGTAGTGATGAATATAAAAGTCCATTGTATGGACTTGACTGCTGGTATCAAGTTTGAGTTTTTCATAGAAATAGGCAAACGATAAAGCTTAGAAGACAAGAAAAAGTTAATATTCTAGTAGTGTAGGTGGCAGATGTCATGGTTTCTTCAAAATCGATAATAATAACAAGTTAAATGTAATGAATTCTATTAAAATTTTTGGGAAAGTCATTTATTGAAACATATAGGCCCCAACGGAGAAAAAGTACTCACTGTCGAAACGGTTAAATGTAGCAGTCTCTTCTACTCCAACAGGTTCTTATCTCACACTTCCCGACAGTGAATCTTCCTTCCTCTTACTTGCTTCCCTGATAGCTATAATCTTCAAATATTCAAATGTAATGTCAATCGACATCTTCTGTGGGCTTGATCCTGATCTCCGTTCTTCGCGATATCCTTTCCTCAAAAAATGCTCCTTACTCTTGCTCTCACTCTCTTGTGGCACTCCCATCTTGCTTAGGGGGAAATGCTTAAAAAAACCCCAAAAAACAACAACAAAAAAAAAAACAGCAAAAAACATGATTGTGTAGATATATCTCTTTTAATTAAACAGAGAAATTAATGCATACCGGAGTAGAAATCGAAAGTCTTAATAAAGGGAATATGACACCTGACAGCAATCGAATTTGTATTCACTTTCTAATCTGGTCATATATATATATATATATGTGTGTGTGTGTGTGTGTGAAATAGATAAAGTCAGACAATTATTTTAAGACATTTTTTATGTTTATACGTTCTTTTTATCGATACAAGTATTTAAGTAAATGCTCTGTTTATAATAAACAGTACTAAACGACATTTACCGGCCTGAATGTCCGAGAAATTTTCATAGAAAATATGCGTCCTCCGACAGGAATCGAACATGTATCCTATACGGAACCGTCATATAGCCGGACGTGCTTTTACCGATTGAGCCACAGAGGATCGTACGGTTAGCAAGGTCGAATTTACTATTTTTAAAGTACAATTCTCCATGATTTTCTCTCGTACTTTCATATCTGCTCGATGCGTATCTAAAAGTAAACAAATGACGTCACACATTATGAAATGGATAAAGTCCGACAATTATTTTAAGACATTTTTTTATGTTCATACGTTCTTTTTATAGATACAAATATTTAAGTAAACATTATGAACAGAGTCTTTAGTGCGGCTCATTTGGTAAAAGCACGTTACTTGTTTCCGGTTTAAGATTGGATTTCCGGTTCCTTCTGAAGTATTTTCATTCTCTAGTAACCGCTTGCGTCTTAGTGGCATTATCACTTTGCTTGGGGGGAAATTGTTTAAAAATGCAAATAAAATACATACAGACAGAATGCAGAGTAGAAATATATGAATATATAAAATATAATAATCCCTATTGCTGCCTCCTGCGTGGGCGCATTTGTGTCTGTTCAACACCCACAGTGCATACTTTCGCTACCCCTTAAGACTGGAAATTTTATTAAGAACAATAATATTAAACTCACAACTCTTTGGGTTCTGACACTGGATCTAACTAACGCCTTTATCCACTGAACCTAAAGGCGTTATTTAGATCCAGTGACAGGACACAAAGAACGTGGGTTCAATATATGTTTAAGACGGTGTAGATGTCGGAAAGAGGAATTAACAGGAGATAACTGATAACTGACATTCATTAGACATGGCACGTGGAACTAGAACAGTCTACCCCAGTGAGCGAAATAAAGGGTTCGGTTCGACATTCCAACCACCTGATGAAGGCTGGAGCGTACAACGGCCGAAACGTTTTAATAAATATGGCGACAAAGATGAGGACAATAGTCCGAATAATGTATCAAAATAAATAAAAAAATATCTTCTTTTCTTTTAAGCATTACGCCCCAAGCAAGGCGTGAAGCCACTAGGATGCAGGGGGTTGCGGAAGATTTGGAGCAAGAGCAGATAGGAGTGATAGAAGAAAGGATGAGGAGAGAGATAGTTGGTAGATCAAGGAAACTGGAGATGTCGATTGACATTACATTTGAATAGTTGGAGATTATAGCTCTCAAGGAAACAGTAATTGGGGAGGGTGTTCCACAGGCGAGAGGTGAGAGGTATGAAGCTATTGGAGTAGACGAGACGGCTACATTTAAAAGTTTCTACAGTGTAAGGGTGGGAGCGAGATGCCAGCCTCGTAGGGCGCTTGAATTCATGGAGTCTGGGAACCAGTGAAAGCAGCTCATCGGAGCAATTACCATGAAAGTATTTGTAGAAAAGACAGAGAGAGGCGACGGCGCGTCTGTGAGAGAGGGACTGTAGACGAGATGCCAGATCAGGGCCAATTATATTACATATCCGTCTCTGGATCTTGTCAAGAACTCCGAGATAAACAGAAGGTGCCCCAGACTATATATATGGCAGCAATACTCCATGCAAGGGCGAATGGTTGATTTGTATATTTGAAGTATCGATTCCGGGGAGAAAAATTTCCTGCCGCGGCACAGAGAGCCAACTTTCCTCGCGGTGGAAGAAGCAATTGACTCAATGTATTTGTTCCATTTCAGGTCAGCAGTCAACGTGAGACCGAGCAGACGCAGAGAGTTGCTCTCAAGAAGTTGACTATCAGACATTCTAATGGGGGGCAGGGAAGGATCTCTATGGTGATTAATAGAGAGTAGTTTAGTTTTTGAGGCGTTAAAGTTGACCAGCCAGTTCTTACCCCAATTAACAACCGATTGGAGGTCCATTTCAAGACGCACGGCCAGGTTAGTTGTGTCACCGACACTAAATTTGCTTTTGAAGCAGGAGTAAATTGTAGTGTCGTCCGCGTAGATGCCAACTTGGGAATCTATGGCGTCAGGAAGGTCATTGATGAAAATAAGGAATAGAGTGGGCTAAGGTAAATAATTGGTTTCTATTAAATTATCGAAAGGGTTTAATTCTTTTTGATACTACAAATTATCAAATTCTCTGATTGAAAATAAAATAACTAGGACAGGTTCCGAAAGATTACCTGTCTTTATAGAATCGGTTCCTGGAAATTTGTGATGCCATTATTCGTTACAAGGCACTAGTATCTTTCGTTGAAGGAATTTGAAATGATGTTAGATTCTGGGGAAAGTAAAATTTGTTTCTTTGAAACATTCAAAAAAATTTTCTTTTTTAAAACACCCCCAAAATTTTGTCTCTTTGAAACATTCCAAAAATATGTCTTTTTGAAACATCCAAAAAAAAATGTCTCTTTGAAACAAAAAAAAAATTGTCTCTTTGAAATATCCAAAGTTATCTCTTTGAAACATCCAAAAAATTTTATCTCTTTGAAATATCCAAAAAAATGTGTCTCTTTGAAACATACAAAAAGATTTGTCTCTTTGAAACACTCAAAGAAATTTGTCTCTTTGAAACATCCAAAAATTTATTTCCCTTTGAAACATTAAAAAAAATTGTCTCTTTGAAACATTAAAAAACATTTTTCTTGTTAAAACATAAAAAAAATTGTCTCTTTGAAATATCCCAAAAAATTTTCTCTTTGAAACATTCAAAAAAATTTCTCTCTTTGAAACATCCAAAAAATTTGTTTGAAACATCCCAAAAAATTTGTCCTTTTGAAACCTCTAAGACAAAAAAGAACAAACTAGCATGCCATGAAAATCAGCATGCATAATCCTGGCTCGTATCTGATTAGCAAGACTGAAGACCAATGCGCTTAGTGAATCTGTAAATCTTACGAGCAATAGGCAAGCGTGTCAAATTATACTAATACGATTTTTATTGCTAGATATTGTAGCGAAGAATGTGACTTTGTATTTTTGAGAAGAATACAAAAGGGACGTCGAAGTGCTGACAAAATATGAACTTTCGTTCAAATAGACGAAATCAACAACCGGAAACTTGCAATAAATTCTGTCGGCCGATGAATGCGTGATCCTGCGCAGTCGGTGCTTATTTAATCATCGGCTTATGAAAAAAGTAATATACAGGAACATGAGTTATGATGAAAAATCTGATCCGCCCACAGCAAAAAAGGATAGATATATAGATATAAAGAGACTATATATATATATATATATATATATATATATATATATATATATATATATATATATATATATATGTGTGTGTGTGTGTGTGTGTGTGTGTGTGTGTGTGTGTGGTTGTGTGTGTGTATAGCGAATGAAAGAAATAGGTAGATAGGAAGAGACTATGGCTGGTAGATTTGTAAAACAAATAGAATATGTTTAATAGATAGATAGATAGATAGATAGATAGATAGATAGATAGATAGATAGAAATAAAGAAAGAAAGGAAGGAAGAAAGAGACAGTGACAGACATATTCATAGGTAGGTAGAAAAATACTATGATAGAAAGAAAGAAACTATGAATGATATATACATAGGTAGAAAAAGACTGTGATAGATAGATAGAAATCGACTAGTGGAAAGAAAAAAAGATAGATAGATAGATAGATAGAAAGAAAGAAAGAAAGAAAGAAACGGAGTGAACGATATATACATATATAGAGTTAAAAAGACTATGATTGAAAGAAACAGACTGTAAGAGATAGATATATAGAAAGAGAATGTGTTAGAGAGATAGAAACATACTTAGATAGATAGATTTGAGCAGATGGAAATAGGTAGAAACAGACTGTGATAGATAGATAGATAGATAGATAGATAGATATGAAGAGAATGAGATAGATAGATAGATAGATATGAAGAGAATGAGATAGATAGATAGATAGATAGATAGATAGATAGATAGATAGATAGATAGATAGATAGATTTGAGCAGATGGAAATAGGTAGAAACAGACTGTGATAGATAGATAAATAGATAGATAGATAGATAGATAGATAGATAGATAGATATGAAGAGAATGAGATCGATAGATTGATAAATAGATAGATAGATTTGAGCAGATTGAAATAAGTAGAAATAGACTGCGATAGATAGATAGATAGATAGATAGATAGATAGATAGATAGATAGATAGATAGATACTTTAGGACTGAGATAATCGAGGTAAATAAGATAGTTCTGTACGGAATATGATAAAGTATTGATAAAATCTTGACAGTCTGAGATGAATGAATGCAGAGTCAAAGGGCAATGAGTCTGTCAGTTCTGGAATCATCTGCGGAAAATTCTGTGATTTTCATCCCAAACGAGGAATTATACCGGCCAAGTTTCCAAGATGATTCTTGATTACTTTCCTAACAAGGCGTGTATTTATGGTTAGTTTTCACTTCAAAATATCGGCCGTCCGCCAACCAACAGCTTCTGACCCAACCCGCCTTGAAGAAGGTGTGTGTTTCTTGTAGATGTGTGTAGAAATGAAAAGTCGGTATTATTAAAGCAGGTATTTGAACTGGTTAGCTCCAGTCAATAATAAACACGAAGATAGATGTGATAAATTTAATTCCATATATACGTCGATGCCGTTTCGCACCACTGATTTATAACACTAAAAGTTCTTTATTTTATTTATGACGTTTATCTAGAAAAAATATCTCAATCCTGTCTCACTCTAATCCTGTACCTAGAGGGATCTAGGTACAGGATTAGAGTGTAAGAGGCACCACCCCAAGTAAGGTTATAATGCCACCAAGACGCAAGGTGCCACCGGAAGTGAAAGTGAAAAAGAAAAAAAAAGATGCAGCGTTTAGGCAATGTTGCTGGAAGTATAGAGTTGAAGTAGACTTTAGAAGGAACCGGAAACTCAATCCTAAACTGAAAACAACTGATAAACATCTACTCATATCCAAAATAAATAAATAGAAAATAAAAATAAATAAATAAATAAAATAAACGGGGAGGAGTGTGATAAGGATGATAGGTAGACATATCTACTTCCATTGAGGAAAAAAAACAAAGTAAAAATATAAATAGTAAATAGAATTTCAGACCTAGAGAGTCGAAGTAGGGTTTAGAGGAACCGGAAAACGAATCCTAAACCGGAAACAAGTGATAAATCTCAACTCTTTTTCAAAAGACCGGGAACAGGACGATGGACGAAACTATGTACTGTTATTGAAGAAAAAAAAAAAAGTATATAAATAGTAAATAAACATTCAGAGTTTTATGCGGAAATGTCAGAAATATCGGGTGTAACAGCAAAATTGTCTAAATCGTGTAACAGCAAAATTGTCCAAATCGTGTAACAGCAAAATTGTCCGAATTGTGTAACAGCAAAATTGTCCGAATTGTGTAACAGCAAGATTGTCCAAATTGTGTAACAGCAAAATTGTCCGAATCGTGTAACAGCAAGATTGTCCAAATCGTGTAACAGCAAAATTGTCCGAATTGAGTAACAGCAAAATTGTCCGAATCGTGTAACAGCAAGATTGTCCAAATCGTGTAATGGCAAGATTGTCCGAATTGTGGAACAGTAAGATTGTCCAAATCGTGTAACAGCAAGATTGTCCAAATCGTGTAACAGCAAAATTGTCCGAATCGTGTAACAGCAAGATTGTCCAAATCGTGTAACAGCAAGATTGTCCAAATCGTGTAACAGCAAAATTGTAACAGCAAGATTGTCCAAATTGTGTAACAGCAAGATTGACCAAATCGTGTAACAGCAAGATTGTCCGAATCGTGTAACAGCAAGATTGTCCAAATCGTGTAACAGCAAGATTGTCCGAATTGTGTAACAGCAAAATTGTCCGAATCGTGTAACAGCAAGATTGTCCAAATCGTGTAACAGCAAGATTGTCCAAATCGTGTAACAGCAAAATTGTAACAGCAAGATTGTCCAAATTGTGTAACAGCAAGATTGATCAAATCGTGTAACAGCAAGATTGTCCGAATCGTGTAACAGCAAGATTGTCCAAATCGTGTAACAGCAAGATTGTCCAAATCGTGTAACAGCAAAATTGTCCGAATCGTGTAACAGCAAGATTGTCCGAATCGTGTAACAGCAAGATTGTCCAAATCGTGTAACAGCAAGATTGTCCAAATCGTGTAACAGCAAAATTGTCCGAATCGTGTAACAGCAAGATTGTCCAAATCGTGTAACAGCACAATTGTCCAAATCGTGTAATGGCAAGATTGTCCAATTGTTAGATTAAGCTCTGAACCGTTGTATCTTAGAAATGATTAAAGATATCTTACTGGAATTCGCCGAGGTTTTAATCACACTATTGGACTCTACTTTTAGAAATAAGAATGTATAATTACTCTCTAAGATTAACAGAAGAATTGTGATGAAATCGATCATAAACGAAAAATGATCATTTTCATCATTACCCGAAGCTCATGATGGATTGAAATAATGTTCATATATACACACACACACACATATATATATATATATATATATATATATATATATATATATATATATATATATATATATGTGTGTGTGTGTGTGTGTGTGTGTGTGAAAATTTCTCAGAGTTAACCTGTAGAAAAGACAATATTTATAAATATAGATGACAATAGGAAAACTGTAGTTATTTCTGACGTGTTTCATCCAATGTGGACTTTCTCAAAGCAAAAAACGAAATGAATTTTAATTAAAGAAAGTAACTAATAATAACAAAAAACAGAATGTTCTTAGCAACTGGAGGAATGTAGAGGACACTATTTTCATAATACCGCTCTCCCAAACAAACGTACACAGAAATATCGTAAAATCAAAAGAAAATGATTGAATCCGCCAACACAGTTATAATGACAATATTCTCCACACGTAACAATAAATGACGTTATTTTCAGTTAACAATATGAAAATAGCGTTCTCTATATTCCTCCAATTGCTAAGAACATTCTGTTTTTTTTTATTATTAGTTATGTTCTTATATATATATTAAGAAATGGACAAAGTCCTACAATTTATTTATTAAAGACATTTTTATGTTTAACGTTCTTTTTATAGATACAAGTATTTAAGTAAATGCTCTGTTTATAATAAACAGTATTAAATAACATTAACCGGCCTAAATGTCCGAGTAATTTTCATAGAAAATATTCGTTCTTTGACAGGATTCGAACCTGCATCCTATACGGAACCGTCATTTACGCTGACGTGCCTTACCGTATCGGCCACAAAGAAGCGTTCGGTAGACAAGGTCGAATTTACTGCTTATAAACTTCAATCTTCCATGAATCTCGTACATTCATAACTGCTCTGGCGTATCAAATGTAAACAAATGACGTCATATATTAAGAAATGGACAAGGTCCGACAATTTATTTATTAAAGACATTTTTTATAAAAAGAACATCAAACAATGTTTTAATATATATATATATATATATATATATATATATATATATATATATATATATATATATATATATATCTGTGTGTGTGTATTTCCTCTTAATTTTTTCGTTTTATTGAAATAAATCATTTTATATTTCAAATAATTATCATATAGTATAACTGTCCTTTCGATTTATTTTCATTCAAAAATTTACAATTCGAATAAATGTTTTTCGAATAATTGTTTCGAACAATTTTCTCGATATGATTTTTTTAAAATAATGTTCATATAATAATAAAGTCTGTCGGAGGAGGAAACACGTCGTCTAAGAATAGTTTTTTTTTTCTCTTTTCTTATATATATATATATATATATATATATATATATATATATATATATATTATTCCAGTATCAATTTCCAACTTATTCGAGATGGTCTTCACGAGCTATAAATTTCTAACTTTCTGTTCTGGAGTAACAAGGTTTCACGGGCGATTTTATTTTCAAGTCTGTTTTTCATTGCACTTTAGACTGTCATTGCTGAAACTTCTCTCTCACGTGACAAACGTTTTATGAATTAATTTGGATCTTTTCTCATTAATCTCTTTAACTCTAAGTTGCAATGATGATCCCTCTTCCTCTTGTGACCTGATTCAGTTTTCCTCTCTATGGTCCCCTCTTTTTTAAAACTTATTTGTCGTTCTCTTGATGAAGCTTGAATGGACTTTGAAAATGGAAGCCAGAGTATGAATGCTGGTACCATTACTGAAGGCCTGAATGATCTTTTTCCTCTCACCATTGCTCAGTTCAGAAAACAGTGGAGCTGACTCAAACGGTTTTAAATTGTTCTCTTTCTAGCTGAATAACTTGAGTTGTTTATTCATCGATTCTTACGACAAATAGTATAAACCTTTTACCTTTTACCTGAAAAAAGACACTCAATTAGTTTTGTGTTTTTTTTTAGATATCAAACATTTAGTGGGATGGATAATTATCCTTTTACATGATTTGGACAATCGTGTTGTCCCGTCCTGGGTATTACGCTAAACTACAACGACGTCCTGTGAAAAAACATAAACTACGTCCAACGTAGAGGTTTTGCAGATCGTGGAATCACCTCTTAATTGCTGATGTTCCTCGGTCCACACTGACCCAGGGCGGTAGCACCTGTTATGGTCCCAACTGCAGGCAAATGGTTGACCCCCAAACCGGTGTCAAAACACTATGAGTGTGTAAAAGTAGGTTTTAATATCAGTAATAAATTTTTTGAGGAAAAATTATTACCAGGAATATATTTTTACCAGCAACACTTTTTTTAAGAAAAAAAAATATTACCAGTAATACATTTTTGAAGAAAAAAAAAATTACCAGCAATATATTTTTGTGGAAAAAATATTACCAGTAATATATTTTTGAAGAAAAGATATTACCAGCAATAGATTTTTGAGGAAAAAAATATTACCAGCAATATATTTTTGAAGAAAAAAATATAACCAGCAATATATTTTTGAGGAAAATATATTACCTGCAATGTATTTTTGAAGGAAAAAAATATTACCAGCAATATATTTTCGACGAAAAGATATTACCAGCAATATATTTTTGAAGAAAAAAATATTACCAGCAAGGGGTTTTTGAAGAAAAAAGTTTTACCAGCAATAAATCTTTGGAAAAATATTACCAACAATAAAAATCTTTTCGGTATTAAATAACCAATTGAGTTTGATATGCCGTAAAACAAAACAGACCAAGCCAAAACAATTTTGTTGTTATACCTAGTAAAGAGTCGAATTAGACACGATAAGGACCTGAAAACCCAAATTTCTAAACAGGAACTTGGGGTAAAAATCTACTCTATTAGTTTGGATATAAGCATACACGCAATATTCTTGTGCAAAACTTGACTGAGTGACCTGCTTACAAATGGAATACGGAGGTAACGTGGGTGATTCGGTTCCGTGAATGCAGCTTGGCGTTTTCTAACTATAAAGGTTTGATCATCATTTTCTGTTATTTTTTTGGTGGGAAACTACTCTTTCAAAAGTAGAGGTTGAGGATCCTTTATCCGAAATTCCAAAATCCGAAACACATTCAGGTGGGACCGAAATGCCAACCCAGCAGCACGCTTAAATTCATGCAGTCTGGGAACCAGCGAAAGTAACTCGTCGGAACATTTGCCGTGAAAGTATTTGTAGAAAAGACAAAGCGAAACGACGGCACGTCTGTGAGAAAGCCATTGTAGACGAGATGCCAGATCAGGACCAATCACATTGCATATACGTCTCTGGATTTTGTCGAGGACCTCGAGACATACGGCGGGTGCACCAGACCATATATGGTGCAGTATTCCATGCAAGGGCAAATGGTTTATTTGTAGATTTGAAGGATGGACTAAAGCGAGAAAAAAATTCTGGCGCGACACGGGGAAACAACTTTCCTTGCGGTAGATGAAGCTATTGATCCAATGTATTTGTTCCACCTCAGGTCAGTGGACAACATGAGACCAAGCAGGCGCAGAGAGGCGCGGAGAGGCGCGGAGAGGAGTTGGGCATCAGCCATTCTTATGGGATCATGGCGGGAACTAAAATACAATAATCATACTTATTATAAAACCCAGGTTGTGTGTGTATGTGTCTGTTCGTTTATATATTGGATCAGATTTCCTACATTTTTCAACCGATTTTAACAAAACTTCACAAGACTACGTAAAATTACTTTGCAGTGGTTCTGACAGCGCCAAAAATTGGAAAAACACAATTGTTTTTGCGCGAAATCAATTTGAAAACACGATTAAGGCATTAATGAAAGGGGGACAACTCATATCGGGTTATACTTATTATAAAACCCAGGTTGTTTGGTTGTTTGTTTGTGTGTGTGAGTGTGTGTGTTCGTTTATATATGGGATCGGATTTCCTACATTTTTCACCGATTTCAACAAAAGTTTTTTTGACAGGTAGTGTTTCTTATTGTCTTGCACACTTTTTTCTTTATTTTTACATTCAGAATGCTTTAAAAATTCCATTTACAAGACAATTGTTTATAATAAAATTCTATTCAATCGGTAGACTCATAACGATTGAAAACAATGTTTTTGTTTGAGTTTGACCAATTCGTAAAAAAAAACAAAAAAAAAATCTAATTAAGACATGCGTGTCCATCAACCTTAAACAATAAACTTTGTCAATTTTATTTTTCAGTCTTTATGATGGTCGATACTTGATCTATCTCTTACTGTTACATCCCCGGGCAACGCCGGGTTCTACTGCTAGTACAGTTATAAATGCCTTTGCTAAAAAAGTTTCAGCATTTCTGGAATTCTCCTCATGTATGGAATTTAACCTTCTAATGACGCACATCGTCTCCTGAAGACAGCATCATCCATTATGATTTAATTTTTATTGCTTTTTTTTTTTAATCCCAAGTACCTTCAGATTGTAGCTTCCGAATTGCTATGCGAAAAAATTGTGTTTCAGATTTGAACTTCTCCTAGACTGGCTGCCAAATAAGCCTGGAGAGTCAAGTCTGCTCTAAGATTCATATTTTTCCCAATGAGATTAGTTCTTTTTGATAAAATGGCGTAATAAAACATGACTGATTTGTTTTCTTACGTCGAATCAACCCTTGATTTTTATTTTTTTTTTGTTTTTTACTTAATGCCGAAATATATTTCAAAATTTAAGAATAATTAATTTAATTGGAAACAGATTCATATTTTTCCCCAAAGAGATTTAATTTTTCTTTTTGCGAAAAAACCGTAACAAAACATGACTATTTTGTTTTTTTTTACGTCTTATCAACCCTTTGCGTTTTACTTAAAGCCGAAAGCATCTTTTGAAATTTAAGAATAATTCTTTCATTTTCTTCGCGTGCAAATATTTTTTGAAATGCAAGTACTAGTATTTAACCCATAGCTGAGTTGGATGCCAATAACAACTACACTACACGTACACGTGATGTTTACGAACACACAAACACACACACACAAACAACAACAACAAGCAATTCGGAAACAGGTTTATAATTTCAGCTAAGGCTAAGTACTCTTCGTAGATCTTTTTATGGTTTATAAAACTTCTGTAGGTTATTTAAAGCCAGAAATATTTTTAGATGTTAGTGGGTAGTTAATAATATGCACTGATACAAGTCCTACTAATTAACTCGGAGCTGAAGGAGAAATGATGGATACATACTTTTTGCACAAGGGTATTTTGAAATGTAAGTGAAAATAATGAACCCGATTGGAATTAGAACACGCCTCTCTTCTGATTCTGAGCCGTTATCCATTACACCACGCGCACATCCCAAGTTTACAGAACCTGGTATACTCAAGCGGTCACCCATCCCGATATTGACCAGGCTTGATCTCGCTTAACTTCAGTGATCATACGGGAACTGGTGCTTCAACGTGATACGATTATATACTTGAGTTCCCTTCGTAATAAATAAGTGCACTCTGTTTCATAGCCATATTTCCTCACAAAATCTTCTCATCTTTGGCATGTCACAACAGTTGAACAAGGAACGATTTTAGAAATGTTCTCACTTAACTAATTTGCATGCACCTGTAAGTACCTGCAAAAGAAGCTGTAGCTGTTATAGTCAACCTTGACATCGTCCATGTCTAATTGCTTCATGTTAAGGCAAAGTTTCGAATATTATCTTTTGTAAGAAATATTTACTAAGGAAGAGATCAAGCTACCCAGGTTTTATATAAGATGTCTGCTCCATTCTCCCGTTATTAGAGAAAAGAGATTTTTCTTTTTTCTTTTTTTCTTAATAAGAAAAGCATTATTTTTATTTTGTTTCCAGTCGGAAGCCATTGAGGTCGATGTGACCCGGCTTCTATTTGAAATGCCACACAGCGGCCATATCTTCACCCCGAATTATTCTAGTAAAAATCTTTCATTTTTATCTGTTTTCGTATTTTTCCTTCTCTTCTCTTCTCTTTTTCTTTGTTTGATTGTTTGTTTCTTTCTTTAACACAGATTTTCTCTCTTGCAATCTTTCTCGCCGATGTCTTCTTCTTTTTATACTGAACTCTCTCCTGATTGGCCAGTTATTTCTGGATTTACGAAAGGTCAAACACACAGTGAAGCCAAATATATAAGAATACAATGATTTTTCTTGATTTTATTCCGTCACCTTTGATTTTTTTTTCTTTGTACCTCTTCTATTTCTTCTTCTTCTTCTTCTTCTTCTTCTACATATACTTCTTCTTCTTCTTTTTCTTTTTCTTCTTCTCCTGCTCCTCCTCCTCCTCCTTCTACTTCTTCTTCTTCTTCTTCTCCTCCTCCTCCTTCTTCTTCTACATATACTTCTTCTTCTTCTCCTCCTCCTTTTTTTTTTTTCTTCTTCTCCTCCTCCTCCTCCTCCTTCTTTTCTTCTTTCTCCTCCTCCTCCTCCTCCTTTTCGTTTTCTTCTTCTCTCCTCCTCCTCCTTCATCTTCTTCTTTTCCTTTCTTCTTCTTTCATATATTTCTCCTCCTCCTCCTTTTTTCTTCTTCTCCTCCTCCTCCTTCTTCTTCTTCTTCTTTTCTTCTTCTTCTTCTTCTCCTTCTTTTCCTTATTCTTCTCCTTTTCTTTTTTTCTTTTTCTTCTGTCGCCTTTTCCTTATGTGGACTTTTTTCTCATCCTTTTCTTTTCTTCTTCTCCTGCTCCTCCTCCTCCTCCTCCTTCTTCTTCTTCTTCTCCTGCTGCTGCTGCTCCTCCTCCTCCTTCTTCTTCTTTAATTTTTCTTTTTCTTCTGTCGCCTTTTCCTTATGTGGACTTTTTTCTCCTCCTTTTTCTTTTCTTCTTCTCCTGCTCCTCCTCCTCCTTCTTCTTCTTCTTCTTCTCCTGCTGCTGCTGCTCCTCCTCCTCCTTCTTTTTCTTCTTCTTCTTCTTTAATTTTTCTTTTTTCTTCGCCTTTTTTTTTTCCTTATGTGACTTTTTTTTCTCCTCCTTTTTCTTTTCTTCTTCTCCTGATCCTCCTCCTCCTTCTTCTTCTTCTTCTTCTTCTTCTTCTCCTGCTGCTGCTGCTCCTCCTCCCCTTCTCCTCCTTCTTCTTCTTCTTCTTCTTATTCTTCTTCTTCTTTAATTTTTTTCTTTTTCTTCTGTCGCCTTTTCCTTATGTTTTTTTTTTTCTCCTTCTTTTCGTTTTCTTCTTCTCCTCCTCCTCCTCCTCCTTCTTCTTCTTCTTCTTCTCCTGCTGCTGCTCCTCCTCCTCCTTCTTCTTCTTCTTCTTCTTCTTCTCCTGCTGCTGCTGCTCCTCCTCCTCCTCCTCCTTCTTCTTCTTCTTCTTCTCCTGCTGCTGCTGCTCCTCTCCTCCTCCTCCTTCTTCTTCTTCTCCTTATTCTTTTCTTCTTTAATTTTTCTTTTTTCTTCGTCCATTTCTTCTTTACTTTTTCGTTTTCTTCAACTTACTTTTCTTGTACTTTGTATTCAATTCTATTCTTGTTCTTCTTCCTTACTCTCTCTCTCAACCTCTTTTTCTTTTCTCCAATTTCCTAGATTTTCACCCTTCTCTTCTTCTTCCTCCTCTTTCTTCGTCGTTATTGCTAATTTTCCTCCTCTTCTACGTCTTGTTTCTCCTTTTCTTCTTCTTCTCTTCTTTTTCTTCTCTAGTGAGTCTTCCAGCTTTATCGACTTCTCTCTTCTTTCTCCTCTATTAATGCTTCTGTTTCTTCTCCGCCTCCCCCTCCTCCTTTTTTTATTCTCTTTCTTTATCTCCTCCTCTTCTTTCTTTCTCTTTTCCCTTTTCTACTCTATTGCATTTTGCCTCCTCCTACTTCTTTTTTTCCTCCTCATTCTCCATTACTGCTTCTCTTCCTCCTCATTTTTCTCCTTATCTTTCCCCCTCTTCCTCTTCTTCTTCGTATTCTTATTCTGTCTACATTTTTTCTTCGTATTTTTCTTCTTGCGTCTCATCCTCTTCTTATTTTGCGTGGTATAATTATATTCTTCGTTCTGTTCTTCATAATGGCTATTTTTCTTTCGTAAAATTCATTTTCTTTTTTTTTTCTATGACAGTATATTTTTACTCTGTTTTCCTCTTAATTTTATTGTTTTGGATGTTCTTGCTGTTGTTGTTGTTGTTGTTGTTCTTCTTCTTCTTCTTCTTCTTCTTCTTCTGCTCCCTTATTGTTTATAACGTAATAGTAATGACTGATATTTTCAGCTTCATATTTTCTCTTTCTCCTTTTGATAATTTTTCTTTCTTCTTCTTCTTCTTCTTCTTTTTTTTATTCTTCTTTATCTTCTTCTTCTTCTTCTTCATATTCTTCTTCTTCTTCATATTCTTCTTCTCCTTCTTCTTATTCTTCTTCTTTTTCTTCTTCATGTTCTTCTTCTACTCCTTCTTTTCCTTCTTCTTCTTCTTCATATTCTTCTTCTTCTTCTTCTCCTTCTTCTTATTCTTCTTCTTTGTCTTCTCCATGTTCTTCTTCTTCTTCTTCTTCTTCTTCTTCTTCTCCTTCTTCTTCTTCTTCTCCTCCTTCTTATTTTTCTTCTTCTTCTCCTTCTTCTTCTTCTTTTTCTCCCTTATTATTTATAACGTAATAGTAATGACTGCTATTTTCAGCTTCATATTTTGTCTTTCTCCTTTTAATAATTTTTCTTTCATTTCTTCTTCTTCTTCTTCTTCTTCTTCTTCTTCCATTCATTCTTTTCAGAATTCTTCTCTTCATTCATTCTCTCATACTTTTTCGCTATTTAAACTTCAGAGCGAGGCTAATGACATTGGTTTGTCTTTTCCATCACCACTTCCTTCTCTCTCTCACTCTCTCTCTCACGCACACACACACACACACACACACACACACACACACACACACACACACACACACACACACACAGATAATCTATCAACTGCTTTTTACCCGCGCTATTCATTTCTTTTATCTTTCTCCCAGTGTTTTCTTGTTGTTGCCACCCTGATGTCGTTTTCATAATAACATCCACTTTTCGCTCGAAATCCTTCGGCTCTTCCCACATTCCTTCTCATTTTAAACCGAAGACACAAAGATGGCGTCTCACCGAATGGATACAGCCGACACTTATTGCATGCAAAGTTCAAGTGAATTTGATCAATCGATTTGCTTTACTTTCATATATGTTTACGCAGTCCCTATTCTCTTCCAATTTTCATCCAACATCACCTTTATGGCAATTCCGATTCTATTTGTTCTCCATATTTGGAAATAATGTCTGCGAAGCATCTCTTGATCGTCCCATCATGAATACTGCTCATTATAGGAGAGACGTGGACAATTGTATTACATTATCTATCTATCTATCTATCTATCTATCTATCTATCTATCTATCTATCTATCTATCTATCTATCTTGGTCTACTTTTTATCTATCTACCTGTCAGTCTATTCATTATTCATTTATCTGTCTGTTCATTATCTATCTATCTATCTATCTATCTATCTATCTATCTATCTATCTATCTAGCTAGCTAGCAAGCTAGCTATCTAAACCAGCTCATTATCTATGTCCGCTCATTATCTATATAGTTTAGTTCATGCCTTTATATCTTGCTAACTAGCTGTCTGTTTGCCCCTGTCTCTAACTCAGTATTTTCCAATCTATCTATCTATCTATCTATCTATCTATCTATCTATCTATCTATCTATCTATCTATCTCAATGTGTTCATTATCTATCTATCTATCTATCTATCTATCTTAGATTTACTTTCTTCATATTTTTGTAGTAGTCGAAGTAATAATAACATTTTCTTCTGCTTGTATGTGCCTTAAGCCGTACCGCTTCAGAACGTTGGCGATCATGGCTCCCCACAACTTCTTGTCCTTTGCAGCCATTAATAAATTTCGTCTTTTTTGCTCCCAATCCCTGACCTGCCAACCATTTACAAATACTCGTTACGTTGCCTTTTCAGCTGCTTGACTTCGTCCCGTTTGTCTTTTGTTACTCGTTTTATTTCTAATGTTCACCAAACAAGGCTCAAGATCCATTCAAGTCAATTTAATGTTGTCAACGTAATGAGGTAACTGCAGATTATAATGAGATCGACGTAATGATGTAACTTCAGATTATAATGAGGTCAAGGTAATGAGGTAACTGCAGATTATAATGAGCTCAACGTAATGAGATAACTGCATATTATAAGGATATGTATGATAGACAACGGTTGACCTTAAATTGGATGAGACCATAGTCTTCGAGGAAACTTACTCACAGGAATCCGTTCCACAAAGTAGAAGAAGCTGTTACTGTGAAACTTCCTCCTTACAAATGGAAGACGAAGAGAATGTGGATGATTGAGATATGTGTGCGCGGCATGGTGGGTTTTAGCGGTAAACGTTTGAATTGGTGAAGTTAACGAAAGTCGCTTGTCAAAACATTTTCCATTAAAAATGAGATCGTCTGCCAAGTACTTTCCGATGTTTTGCATGTGGGGGAAAGTGGCAGTAGAAATGAAGTGACGTTTCTCCTCGTTTATCCATCGTCAGGACTGTTGCTTCCTCTATCTATCTGTATGCCCAATGAGGATTAAGTTTCTTCTATCGCACCTCTCGCTTGTGGAACTTTCCTCCGGATTCTCAGGTATCGAACTAAAAACACTTTGGATCAAGTCACTGGATCAAACCAAAGTTTTTATCCACTTCGACATGTGTCCTTACGGACATCAATGTATGATATTTTGGGACTTAAAATTCAGTTATGCGGAGTGCTAGTGAAAAGCAATAATAAAAATATTGCAATATGAGCTTTGGTAATAAATAACAACTGAGATGTTAAGTTTATAAATCCCCAAAATTAATACACTGATGTCCTCAAGGACACATGGCCCAGTGGATAAAAGCTTTGGTTGGACGAAATAAAGAGTTCAGTTTTAAACTTATCCTCATCTACATTGCCATATTCACAAAATTTCGGCCGTTGTCCGCCCAGTGGATAAAGACGTTGTTTAGATCCAGTGACGAGACCCCAGAAGTTGTGAGTTCAATACCATGCCACAGCAGTGGTGAACCGAAAAACTTGGGGAGTTGAGTTAAAAAGAAATAACTGAGACATCCGGAAGAGACATGGCACGTGGAACTAGAACAATTTACCCCGGTGGATGAGAAAAAGTATTCGGTTCCAAATTCCAATCATCTGAAGAAGACCGGAGCGTACAATGGTCGATAAGTCGTGAATATGCCAAATAAAGATGAATAAAACATTCCAAACAATGTAATTAATGTTAATAATACCAATACCTCATCCCAGAAATATAGACAGATTTAAAGAAGGTCGGAGAGTACAACGGCCGAAACGTCGTGAATATGAGAAATATAGATGAAGACAACATTCCAAACAATTATTTTAAGACATTTTTATGTTCATACAATCTTTTTATAGATACGAATATTTAAGTAAATGCTCTGTTTATAATAAACAGTATTAAACAACATTTACCGGCCTGGATGTCTGAGAAATTTTCAAAGAAAATATTCGTCCTCCGACAGGATTCGGACCTGTATCCTATACGAAACCGTCATTTAGCTTGACGTGCCTTTACCGATTTGGCCACAGAGGAGCGTCCGGTTAGCAAGGTCGAATTTACTGTATTTAAACTTCAATCTTCCATGAATCTCTCACGTACATTCATATCTGCTCATGGCGTATCAAATGTAAACAAATGACGTCACACATGAAATGGACAACGTCCGACAATTATTTTAAGATATTTTTTGTTTATACATTCTTTTTATAGATACAAATATTTAAGTAAATGCTTTGTTTATAATAAACAGTGTTAAACAACATTTACCGGCCTGAATGTCTGAGAAATTTTCAAAGAAAATATTCGTCCTCCGACAGGATTCGAACCTGTATCCTATACGAAACCGTCATTTAGCTTGACGTGTCTTCATAATTGTCGAACTTGGTCCATTTCATAATGCATTCCAAACAATGTAACTAATGTTAATCATTGAAAGACCTCATCTCAGAAATATAGACACATAGCATGATATATTTTGTACGTCTTAATAAGTATTTGTTATAATTTATTTAGCTTTTGGAAGGCATCTTTGGCTATTCCAATGCACCTTCCGATTTAAATGTCATATTTTCTGTCTTCTGTTTAAACACTTCCTAGATATTTAAATAATTTAGTGATACAATCATACTAATTAACCCATATCTGGGGGAAGAGGCGAATTATAAATTTACAACAGCATGCTTCTCCACATTAAGAAATATATTTGTCGAAAATACATCCATACTTTTTCATGAAAATAATAAACATGAACTAAAAATGAATTTTTTATAGTAGATTTTTAAAACTTTATTTTCTGTCTGAAACAAAATGCAGATATCGGAATGAATAAAGGTCTGTGCATATTTGTAGAATCGATTTTATAGACGCAGTCGACCATATTGTTGAAGGTCTGTTAATACGGGAACGCTTCTCTGTTAACTGATGTCTGAGTCCATAAAAACAGTATGCTTTTAATCGCCACTAATCACCCGGAACGCTGCATTGAATATTTAAATCAGCAGGCAAATTATTTCCAGAAAATCTATCAAGATCGTTTCGCATTGTAACTCTATTGAATTCACACTCTTTGAGTCCTGTCACTGGATCTATCTAACGCCTTTATCCACTGTGTCATGTGTCCTTGAGGACCCAAAGAGTGTGAGTTCAATACCCGGTTAAGGCAGTAGAGAACTTTCAGAGGGAAATTAACAGGAGATGACTGATAACTGAGATCCATTAAACATGGCACTTGAAACTAGAACAGTCTACCCCAGTGAGCGAAATAAAGGCCGGAGCATAAATCGGCCGAAACGTTGTGATAAATATGGCTACAAAGATGAGGACAATAGTCCGAATAATGTAAATAATGTACATAATACCTCATCTCAGAAATATAGACAGATACTGAAAGGGCGAAACGTTGTAATAAATATGGCAACAAAGATGAGGACAATAGTCCGAATAATGTAAATAATGTACATAATACCTCATCTCAGAAATATAGACAGATACTGAAAGGGCGAAACGTTGTAATAAATATGGCAACAAAGATGAGGACAATAGTCCAAATAATGTAAATAGTGTACATAATACCTCATCTCAGAAATATAGACAGATACTGAAAGGGCGAAACGTTGTAATAAATATGGCGACAAAGATGAAGACAATAGTCCGAATAAGTAAATAATGTACAGAGACCTCATCTCAGAAATATAGACAGATACTGAAAGGGCGAAACGTTGTAATAAATATGGCAACAAAGATGAGGACAATAGTGCAAATAATGTAAATAATGTACATAATACGTCATCTCAGAAATATAGACAGAAGCTAAAGGTAATTTACATTAACCAGAAAGAGGCTTACAGAGAACCGTCGCTCTTTTTAAATTTGAATTGTGTAAACATCGATTTCATTTTTGCTTTCAAAAAGTCGTAAGACGAAACGCGACGGCAAAAACTAAGATCTTTTTCAAATTGTTATCTTATATCAATTTGTCTTGTCACAGAATTTAACTGGGAATCTATCTATCTATTTATCTATCTATATCTAGATATATATATATATATATATATATATATATATATATATATATATATATTATTACAATGAATCATTTATACAAAAAATAGATTAGTAAAGTTAATGATATAAAATGGCGATATCCCCTCGCAGACAAAATTTTAGAGATGCATTAACTTACAAATCACCCGATGAATGTTATGATCCTTGTTTTAAAATATTATAAACTGTATAAGGTCTTTCTTTAATACGCAAGTACTTTCAATAGTACATTCAGTCATCTTCAGACATGGAAATTATTTTGTTTTTCGTAAAATTCAGGTAGCATCCGAGAGGAAATTGTTAAAAGCGAATCGAAATACGTATTTTATTTATTTATTTTTTTTTAAATGTGTTATTGTTAAGGGATACAAACATTTTTGTATGAATGATTCATTGTAATATAAATTGAACTGCACCACATATTTGATTTATATAGCTTATCAGACGTTATGAAAAGAATTTACATAAAATAAATAGACAACACTTGTCTATATTATTTAATGAAACATGTATGAATATATATATATATATATATATATATATATATATAAATTTATTATAATAATAGCTGGCCATTCGTAGTCGAAGATAACCGTCCACTAGGTCGGCTAGCCAATCCCTATTGCAGACTCTTGCTCAGGCAGATTTGTGTTTGTTCAACACACAGAGAACCAACCTCTGGTTTATACTATAACTATGATGAACAGACCTTAGTTACAGTTTCTGGGAGAAAACATGTTTTCTAGCATGATCAACAATCTGACCAACGCCAGCACACTCAGACACTCGGTCACGATGACTTGCAAGTCCGTGCTAGAACAGCTATCGACAGCCTCCAAGTGTATCGTCTACCCAATTTCACTCACAATGCATGGTTCAAAAAATATGATTCAGGCGCTTTCCGAATTTGCCTCACTCTCAGATCGTCCCCATCCATCCCGTGTCATCAGAAAGTCTCCTTCCTAGGAAGATTCGAACCCGGGTCTCATGGTCAGAAAATTCTAGCCACGCGCCCACATCGTTGTTATAAAGGGATTGAATCGGCCTTTTGATTATGGGAAATATAGATGAAAGGTTTTCCTTAAATGTATGACTATTTATTTCAGTTGAACCCAAGCGGCTTGGGAATCGGTAAAGAACAGATGGGAAGCGAAGGGCTCAAAATATGGTAAAAGAAAAGCAAAAAAAGAGGAATTCAAACGAGCATACGTACACAAATATGCACACGCAGATTTGCGAAGGAATCCACAGAGTGATCGCTGTCAGAGAAGGATCACTTTTGCATGTGTTCGAGTAAGCGATTAACTTGTTTAAAGACATCCCTGTTGTTTCGGTTGGGTAGATTTTTGTGAGGGTTTTGGGGGGAGGAGGCTCTCCGAAAATATCAGGATGACAGCAAACAGGGTTCGAGTGACAGTGGAAAAGTTAGGGGAAGCTAACGTTAACGTGTGTATGTGTGTGTGGGGAGGGTCACCTCTATAAGATGAGTGTGTCGCTAAAGGAAATGTTACAAGGGATCGTGAGACTAAATTCTGGCTGTCTGAGATTTGATAAAACCGGCAGTTTGCGAAGGAAGAGGCTCAGGAAACCACTGTTTGCTGATGTACAAATCGGATAAGGCAGATTACGTTAATCCCATTACACCTAAAAATATATTCGTGCAGAAATACACACACACCAGTGCGCTCAAAGCGGAATGGGGATAGCCCAGTGGTTAATATACACGGTCAAGTGCCACAAGGAAACAGTTTCAGATCTTACTAGAAATTAAATCTAAATAGCCAAATAATCATCTTACGAACATTTATTTCTTAGTAATAATTGTAAAGTAATTCAGCAGACGATAATATTTTATTTAGGTAAATTGAAATTTTGGCGATTGCCTTTTGACTAAGATCAAAGTGTAATACCGTAATTCCAAATGTATAATACGCCTTCATATATAATTATATATATTCCCCCCAAAGAAAATTGTTCTGAAAGTGTGGTAAAATGCTTCTACTCACGCATAATACGCACCCCTTGTTTGGTAATCAAACCCTATAAATTGTACCTCTCCAATTTCATTACGGCTAGCGTTTCCTACTCTTATCCAAGGTGTAATTGAAGATATTTATCAAAATTTCTGATCATCATGATTCTAAAAGGAAACGGAAATACCTATATTGTGTCTACTGCGCAGACTCATTAACCTATTTCTGTTCGATAAAATGTGCAATCTACCGAATCTGTATGTAGTTTTTTCACAAAAAGTGGTTTTGAACATAGAATAATATTATTCGAATTTAGTTTTATGATAATTCTTATTTTATTTTACATTTATATATATTTTTAAGTACATATGATTGTATTTGACATCCTTATGGAGTCGCAGTCTTCGAATGTTAGTGTCAAATTATCGTATGTTTGTGGTGAGTAGTTACTTCGCAACTGAAATCGACCTATAAACAGTGATTTTTAAAGATTTTTTGTAGCTGCGTTCGCACTCTTAATTTTGCTTCTTAGAAAAAAATGCGTATTATAAATGGCTAATTACGGTATCTGTTCTTATCAGTTTAATCTGATTCTCATTTATTCACTTCTATCTTTCTTTCAATTTCTCACAGAAAAGTAGTGGTAACTTTTCCCCACTTTCCATGCGATCAAAACAGAATGGACGATTATTTATCAGGTGTAGGAAGGAAACAATAAACATTTTTATCTATCTATCTATCTATCTATCTATCTATCTATCTATCTATCTATCTATCTTTGATATTCTCTATCAGGATATCTTTCTTTCTATCCAAATTCCTGTCTTACATTTAATTATAATTGTAAAGTTATTCTGCAGACGATGTTATTCAAGAGGAAAATATTTCTTTCTTTCTTTCTTTCTTTCTTTCTTTCTTTCTTTCTTTCTTTCTTTTGATCATAGTGAATCATCGTTCTTTCCAATGTATGTCTACCTGTTTTTCTTACTTTTTTGTTAATTTATACTTTCTTTTTCCTTCTTTCTTTCTTTCTTTATTTTTTCCTTCCTTCCTTCCTTCCTTCTTTTCTTCCTTCCTTCCTTCTTTCTTTCTTTCTTTTTACGATTGACATTGCATTTAAATTTTTGAAAATTGACCGGGAAAAAGAAGCTAGTAAGAGATTTCGACAAGCGAAATGTGAGAGAAAAGAAGCTGTTAGCATAGAACTTACGGTTCCATCTCGCCAATTCAACGGCGAACTGATGAGACCTTACCGCCAATCTAGTACTGCGCTTAAATTTATAAAGTCTAGGTACGATAGCGAAGAGTTTATCGGAACTATTATCATGAAAGTATTTATAGGAAAGGTATATTGAAGCTACATTTTGCCGGCGGGGAAGGGATTTATTTTGAATTCCTTTTATTTTATTGTTCTCTCTCGTTAATAGTGTTCTTTTCTCACACATGCCCTCAAACTCTGTTGTTCCAATGAGGTCTCCTTGGTACGTCAAGCTGATAAATGTAAGCATGTTACTGAACAATCCAGAGATGGATGCTGTACAACACGGATTCCCCAAAACCCGCCATCTCAGCGCACCTGTACTCCGCGAATATTGGGTGCCTTAGCACTGACAATGGCTATGTCTTATTGGATAGAAGGATAGTGATTCCAACTTCTCACCGTAATTCAGCACACCTGGGAGTGGTTGGCATGAAAGCCCGTGCCAATGAGTCCATCTACTGGCCTGGAATCCACGCTGCAATCCGTAATGTTAGGGCCAATTGCGTGGTGTGCTCAAACATTTTCCCTAGTCAACCACGAGAGCCAATCACACGATCGCTAGATTGGCCATTCCAGCAAATAGTCATGGACCTATTCTATTTTAGGGTTCAGCAGTACCTTTTCTGCGTTGATAGGTTAACTGGATGGCCCATTCTTTATCATTTAAGCCATGGACACGCAGATGCATCGAGAATGATCTCAATTTGCCAAGATATAATCCATACCGATGGTGCTCCAGAGGAACTCAACACTGGTGGTCCACCTTTCAAATCACTACCATTCCAACAATTCATGAATGACTGGACGGTGAAACAAAGACTATCAACCCTTCTCTATCCTCAATCCAATGGCCGAGCAGAGCTAGCTGTCAAATCTGCTAAAAGGATAGTACATAGAAACACAATAATAACCCTAGATAATAACAGAGCAGCATAGGCTATCCTTCAATACAGGGACACCCACATCCAGACCATTGGGCTGTAGTTCTACCTGTAACGGCATTCACCCGAGTTTCATGAGAATTTGGAATTCACAAGCGGTACCCAACCCGCATGTATAGCACATGAGATTTGATTATAGTGGTCAATGTTTCGTGCATCCACACTTTTTGAAGGGACGATTACAGAGACCTGGTGCACTACGTGCCATAAGGTTCCCAAACGACCCTCCGCAGGTTTTGAATTCAGTGTGTTCCTTCTCCTAGACCAAGGCTATAGAACCCAGTCTGTCCTGCTATTTACCCATAGCTGGAGGGAGAAGAAGAGGATTCACACGTTTCCAAAGGATATTAGCACGTAAGTGAATATAATGGATTCGACTGGAATTCGAACTCGGCTCTCCGATTCCTCAATCCAAGCCACTACCCCACCGCGCGATTGGGCTGTCCCCAGCACAACTTCTACACCGTCGGCTACGGGATTTTATACCATGTCAACCCAAGCTATACAAGCCGCATGCGTAATGGATAGCTGCAGCTCAAAATCGTAAGAAAAGCCTGTCTCAACGTAATGCCCGCCAGATAGAAAGGTACAACCGTACGGGTCATACCTTGCTTCCGCTTCAGAAAGGGGACATAGTATCAATACAACGACCAACCAATCGCTGGTGGGACACAACAGGCAGAGTTATCAAGACACAACAAATCTGCCTCGTCACTCATGTATCGAAAGATACATGATCGCCTAAGCGTGTATCACGCATGGCACATGACTGACTGAAATTCATTTAAATGCTAATACCCTTGGAAAAGGTATGAATCCTCTTCTCTCCTCAGCTATGGGTAAATAGTAGGACAGACCAGGTTCGATAGCCTTGGATGGCAACTGGTCTACCGCAGAAAGAAATGGCAACCTACTGCGGGGAAAAATCTGCCTTGTCAGTGATGTATGGAAAGATACATGATCGCCTAGGCGTGTATCACGCATGGCACATGACTGACTGAAATTCACTTACGCGCTAATACCCTTGGGAAAGGTATGAATCCTCTTCTTCTCTCCCCAGCTATGGGTAAATAGCAGGACAGGCCGGGTTCTACAGTCCTTGATGGCAACTGGTCTACCGCAGAAAGTAATGGCGACTAACTGGGGGAGAAATCTGCATCGTCAGTCATTTATCGAAATATATATGATCGCTTAAGCGTGTATCCCGCATGCCACGTAACTGACTGATCTGCGTTTCCAAAGTCTCGACTACAACGCGTATTTTTCTTTTCCTTTTTATGTGCCATGTCCTTTCAGGACGTAGGCGATCATAGCTCTCAACCCCTTCCTCTATCCCTTGCAGCTCCCATCAAGTTCCTTATCTTTGCTTCCTCCTCCAGTCCACGTTCTGTCATCCAGCTGCTCAAGTTCGTCAGGTATGTCACGCGTTGCTTTCTCTTGTCTCTCTTTCCCTCTATTTGACCTGTGAGTATCAGATTCTCCAAGCCCTCCTTCCTAAGTTAGCAAATAAATCCACCTGTCACAACGAGCATTACGAACGTGATAGCGAACATTCGTTGGCATCACAAAAGTGACAACGAGTAAGCGTCTGACATCACAAAATCGATGCTTCTTTGGATTTTATCAAGTATTCAAGGCAAGGACGAAGGACAGATTGCGTGAAATCTGTTCTTCTTCCAGCAGCGAATGCTGGAAGGTCTCCTCAAAGATGAAGAAGAAACTCGAGGCAACGTATGCAACAGAAGAATTGTTAAAGATATCATAGACCGAGTGTGTGAACAATGATGAAATCTTAGAGATGATGCCAACAAGTAGTTTATCGTCTTACCCAGGAAAGTTTCTTTTTTGTCTTCAGCTAAAATAAAAATATCATCTAAATAGCGGGCATAAGTTTTCGTCTGAGTATCAGGAGGATATCTTTGGTCACAAAGAAAAGAATACTGAACTGTTTCGTGACATCTGTCCTTCTTTATGGTAGCGAATGTCGGAAGGTCTCCTCAAAGAGACTCGAGTCGACAGAGATGTGGTTCTACAGAAGGATGCTAAGGATATCATGGACCGAGCATGAGATCAACGATGAGAGGTTACAAACAAGGAAGAGGCAGCTGAAGTTTCTGGGACACATAATGAGGAAGGAGGGCCTGGAGAATTTGATACTCACAGGTCGAAAAGAAGGAGAGAGAGACAAGAGAAAGCAACGCATGATATTCTTAGCAGCTTTAAGCAAGTGGGTGACAGAACGTGGTCTGCAGGAACGATGAAACTTATTGAGAGCTACAAGGGATAGGAAGAAGTGGAGAGCCATAATCGCCTACGTCCTGAAAGGAGATCGCACATAGAAAGAAAGTAAGATAAATTCCAGGTCAGAAAAAAATGTCTTTTTGTTTGGTTTCTGATATAATGGAATATGCATATACCTGTGTTTCCCCCTCACTGGAATATGATTGGCTGGTGTCCGTCATAAATACTGACGGACGTGTAGGAGAGTCAGAGAGTTTGAGAGTTGAGCATCAGCTCAAGATGAAGATTAGAACTGATAGAAAACTATTGCATTCGACAGCGAAAGGTGGGTGACTGAGGCGAGCTTGGTTCGTTTGAACGGGGCTAGCGTTGATTTTCTCTTTTAGGTCAAGCCTACGTCACATCGGGGTTGTTTCCTGTGGAGCCCTCCCCTTGGTTAGGTTAGACAAGCTTTTGTGTACCTAGTTAATGTGAGTAAGTTTAGTATGTTATGATTTTTGGATACATTATGTAACTAGTGAGTTAGCCCAAATGACTTGACTCACTTTATAGTCTACCAGTCGAAGGTTAACCAATCAGAAGACGTAGAATATTCAATCCGTCGTGTATAAAGGCGGCCATTTTGTTTACTCTACCCGAATGTCCAGTTCCAGGTTGTCAGGCGAAGAGAACCAGAAGGAAGAACTACGCTCTGCTACTTTTACCAAAATATCCACTGCTAACCTGAACAACGCTTCCCTACTGTCTTCGAAATATTCACTGCTAACCTCTGGATTCTATACACGAAGACGACCGTCATCATGAACAACATTGTTCCCGGCCTGTTGCTGGCCACTTTTTTTGGTTATAATCCAGCCTGAGATTCCCAACCTCCCCGGTTTGTTTTTGGCCCCCTTTTATCTCGACTGGGTCAGCTTTATATTTTCCCATGCCAGTATGATTTTTTATCCGTTTTCCTACTCCCTTAGCGAGAGAGCTTCTTGATTTTGTCCCCTGGGCAGAATACAGCGGCCTCTCTGTTTTGAGGGTTGGGCGGGCCCTACTAACATCAGTTATGTTTAATTTGACTTCTGTTTATATTTTTGATTGTTATTGGGTTCATTTCCCTCCCGTCTCATTCGTCGTTATTAGAATATGATGTATAATATTTATCATCATTAAATTTTTATGGTATGGGGCGCGTTTTGTAGGTCCCCCTAGAGTGGATGTGGTATTATGGTGCACGGAAGATTGTTGGTGATGGACGAGTTGTTATGGTGAATACTGTACTCACTGTACTGATGCGGCATTCACCCTGGGCGGATTGAGCCGGCTTCTTCCTACTATGAGAAGAAGATTCTTGGGATAAATTACAGAAGTAGGGTACCCAGGCCTACTCGGATAACGTTCTTGCTTGTCGCGGGGTTCCCACAGACGCAGAGACAGGAACGACCAGAAGCCGCCGGTTACCGATGCAGACGCTCCTTCTTGCTTGTCGCGGGGTTCCCACAGACGCAGAGACAGGAACGACCAGAAGCCGCCGGTTACCGATGCAGACGCTCCTTGATTTTCACCAGAGCCCTTGTTAGCCGGCGTGTGTGTCAGACCTGTCCGCCTGGGTGGCCCTATCAGGAACGAAGTTCCGGGCGGCATAGTTCTGACACTACCGTTTCCACCCCCACCGACTGTGAGGCAAGGGTTGGACTTTGGGGGCTTACAGTACCAGGTGTTCCCAAGCGGCCCCCCCCCATCTAAGTACTGACCTGGCTCTACGCTGCTTAACTTCGGTGATCGTATGGTGAATGGGTAAATTGTAATGTATGAATGGGTCGTGAATCGGATTAGCTAGATTTAGGATAGTTAGTTAAGACCAGCCTCAACCTCTCCTTTTTGGCTTTGTGCCCTAATTATGTAATTTTACATAATAAATACTGAGCCTTAGTCTGAGTGCTAAGTCTATAACGACGCCCATTGGACGACGCCATTGATCTACACTTCTTACCTGCGACTACGACGAGTACCAGTCGATTACTGCTACCGTATTCTACTTGGTTATAGTAGCCAAAACCACTTAGATACTTCGTTCAAATATATCCCTTTCCGGGACATATCAGTGTCTATCCTCCCAGAGGTGGCCTAATTATGGGTCGTTTGAAAGACGAAAATAAATTTAGAAATTAACTAGCAAGAAAGATTAAAGGTGAAAACAAATGACTGGGTCAGAGGGAAACAATGGGAGGAAGAATCAAATAGAGAGGGGGAAGTGTTAATATAAAAGTTTTAAAAGAAAAAAAGGGGGCGGTGGGGTAGGAAGATGTCATGATTGAGACTGTGCGGAAAATATGAGACATTGATTCCGGAAGGGAAAGAAAGGAAATAAAAGAGGGGGAAAAAATGAAAGGAAAGAAAATTAAGAAACGACTAAAAAGAAAGGAGGGGGTAAAGAAAGAAGAAGTAAAAAACAGAAAGGTGGAAAGAAAGAAAGAAAGAAAGAAAGAAAGAAAGAAAGAAAGATTATTAAAGAGGGTGAAAACGAAAATATTAAGATGGGAAAAAAAGTCAAATTAAAAAGCAGGAAGGGTACGAGAAAAAAAGAGTAGGTATGGTGGATCATCTTGCGACCTCAGCCGAGATTGAACTCACCAATACTTTGATTGGTGTACTTCATAATCTTCTCAAATAGCTAGATTCTTGATGCTTCGCTAGGGCTATCAAGTGTGTTTTTTTATCGTGACACCATCACTAAATGGATTGCCAACCAAGGCTCAGAGAGACTCCATTGACCCTCCTCTAAGAACAGGTTCGAATTCAGAGTTTTCCTTCTCCTTTTCCAGTTGCCATCCAAGGCTATAGAACCCAGTCTGTCCTGCTATTTACCCATAGCTGGAGGGAGAAGAAGAGGATTCACACGTTTCCAAAGGATATTAGCACGTAAGTGAATGTAATGGATTCGACTGGAATTCGAACTCGGCTCTCCGATTCCTCAATCCAAGCCACTACCCATTACTCCACCGTGCTTGTATGGTGGATACTGGAACGAATAACACAGAAAGTAAACAAAGGAAGAACCAAGAAAAGAGATAGAAAAAAATGAATAAAAAAAATTAGCAGACGTAGAAAAAGAAAGAAAGAAACAAACAGGCTGAGGATGAAAGATGACGGAACAAAAATAAATAAAGACTGAATGAAAAAGGAAAAAACAAGAATGATCAAATAAAAAGGAAACAACAATTAACGAAAAAATAAAGAAAGAATAAATTAAAAAAAAATTATTAACAGAAAACGAAGAAAAACGGATAGACGGACATTGTAAAGAACAACAGTGATTCGGGAAGAGAAAAAAGAAAGAAAGAAAGAAAGAAAGAAAGAAGCAAAAAGAAAAATGAAGAAAGAAAAAGGATGAAGATGAAAGATGACGGAACAAAAATAAAGAATGAATGAGAATGGAAAACAAGAACGAACAAATAAAAAGGAAATAAAAAATAACGAGAAAAAGAAAGAATGAATTAAAAAGAAAGAATTAACAGAAAAGTAAGAAAAACGGATAGAGGTACATTGGAAAGGACAAAGATGAACTGGGATTCGGGAAGAGAAAAAAGAAAGAAAGAAAAAATGGAAAAAGGAAAAAAGAACGAACGAACGAAAGAAAGAAAGAAAGAAAGAAAGAAAGAAAGAAAGAAAAAAAGAAAGAAAGAAATTAACAAAAAAGAAAAAAAAAACTGACAGGCGTACATTGTAAAAGAAAATGATGAACAATGATTGGGAAAAGAAAAAAAAAGAAAAAGAAAAGACAAAAAGAAGTAAAGAAAATAAAGAATGAAAAGAAAGAAAAAGGAAAACTAAAAAGAGAGAAAAAAGGGGAAAAATAACAGAAACGTAAGAAAAACTGACAGGCGTAGATTGTAAAGGACAATGATGAACTTTGATTGAGAAAAGAAAAAAGAAAGAAAAAACACAGAAAAAAGGAAAAAAGAACGAAAGAAAGAAAAAAAGAAAGTAATTAAAATAAAAGAAAAAAATCCCTGATAGACGTACATTGTGAAGGACAATGATAAACAATGATTGGGAAAAGAAAGAAAAAAGAAGTAAAGTAATAAATAAGAAATAAAGAAAGAAAAGAAAGAAAGCGGGAAACTAAAAAGAAAGAAAAAAGGGAAAAAACTAACAGAAAAGTAAGAAAAACTGATAAGCGTACATTGTAAAGGACAATGATGGACTCTGATTGGGAGAAGAAAGAAAGAAAGAAAGAAAGAAAGAAAGAAAGAAAGAAAAGAAAGACAGACAGACAGACAGAAAGAAAGAAAGAAAGAAAGAAAGAAAGAAAGAAAGAAAGAAAGACAGACAGGAAGAAAGAAAGAAAGAAAGAAAGAAAGAAAGAAAGAAAGAATAAATAAAAAAGAAAGAAAGAAATATGAACAAATGAAAAGGAAAGATATTAAAAGTAAAGATGAAAGATAATTAGGAATGAAAAGAAAAAGAAATTCGAAATAAAAAAGAAAGAAAAAAAAGGAAAAACAAAATAAAATAAACAAGAAAAAATAGCGTAAAGATTGAAAAGGAAGGTAAATAAACAAATAAAATAAATAAAGGAAAGAAGGAAGGAAGGAAAAAAGAAAGTAGTGAAGAAAGCATTAATAAAAAATGTAAAAGAAAAGAGAGAAATAAAAAAAATGAAACACAGACACAGCGAATAAGGAAGGGAAAACTAAAAAAGAAAGAAAAAACATGCAAATTACTAAAAGAAAAAAAAAGGAAGATAATTTAGAAACAGAATATCAAAGAAAGAAAGAAAGAAAAAAACGATGAGAGGGTGAAAGAGAGTATTGCCAGATAAGAGAAAGAAAGAAAAAAAAACGAATGATTGAAAGTGTATGAACGTGAGAATGCAGACGAAAGAAGAGAAATAAAACAGAGAAGAAAGAAAGAAAGAAGGAAAGAAAGAAAGAAGGAAGGAAAGAAAGAAGGAAAGAAAGAAAGAAAGAAGGAAAGAAAGAAAGAAAGAAAGAAAGAAGGAAAGAAAAAAAGAAGGAAAGAAGAAAAGAAAGAAAGAAAGAAGGAAAGAAAGAAATAGTTTCATAAAAAGACAGAGACAAATGATGATTCAGAATAGAATGAAGAAAGACGAAAATAGCGAAGTGTGGAATGGAAGAAAGCAAAAGTTATCATTAGTCAAAGAAAGAGAGAAAATAAGGCAGAATACATACATACATATATATATATATATATATATATATATACTCTGTGTGTGTGTGTTCAGATATCTGTCAGGAAAGTTCAGGGGATACCTCTCACCTGGGCTACTTAAGCGTTCTAAGACATTCGTTCAGACACTTACCTTTGTTGATGTTATATCAGCTCTTCCGTGCTTGCTTCCACCTGCTACACGGTTTTATTTGAACGGCTTTCGCGTCTACAAATACGCCTTTCTGTAGACGTATTCCATCAGAGCCCGTCTATAAATAACAGGAATCCGCGAAAATGTGCTTGGCTGCTTGTTTAACTGTCCAAAGTTTCTTCCGAGAATTGCAACTTCGTACGTCTCCTTCTTCATCTATCTATCTATCTATCTATCTATCTATCTATCTATCTATCTATCTATCTATCTAACAGAAGTTGTTCATTATCTATCTATCTATCTATCTATCTATCTATCTATCTATCTATCAGAAGCTTTTTATTATTTATTTATCTATATAGCTAGCTAGGTAGCTATAAGACGCTATCTATCTATCTATCTATCTATCTATCTATCTATCTATCTATCTATCTATCAGAAGCTTTTTATTATTCATTTATCTATATAGCTAGCTAGGTAGCTATAAGACGCTATCTATCTATCTATCTATCTATCTATCTATCTATCAGAAGCTGTTTATTATCTATCTATCTATCTATCTATCTATTAGGTTGGTGCAAAAATAATATCGTTTTTGACGTTCAACTTAACGTCTAAAACAACATTATTTTTGCACCAACTAATATATATATATATATATATATATATATATATATATATATATATATATATATATATATATGTGTGTGTGTGTGTGTGTGTGTTGTGTGTATTTAGGTAGCATATATTCATTCAAGCATGTTTGGTTGAATAATCTAGACATATCTATTTTATTTTAATCCTCTCTGATTCACGGATCAATTTCTTAGTGTTGCTACAAAACTGATTAAGAATGTTGCCCTAGTTTTGGTTATTTCTTTTATTTTCCTAAGTACTTTCAATCTCCTTCAAGATCATCTTCAGGGGTGATTTGAGAAGAAAAAAAAAATAAAAATGCCATTTTTTTTGTAAATGCGCAGGAAACGCCCTCAGTTATAGTCAACTTAAAAATTAAGCTTAAAAATATGTAAAGGAGGAGGAGGATCGGTGAATTAATAGATAGCAGCCCAGATTGAGGAATCGGAGAGCCGAGTTCGAATTCTCGTCGAATCCATTGCATTCACTTGCATGCTAATACCTGGTTAAATAGCAGGACAGACCGAGTTCTATAGTCTTGCATGACAACTGGTCTACCGCAGGCAGCGTACTGCGGTAAAAAAAATCTGCCTCATCAGTCATGTATCAAAAGATACATGATCGCCTAAGCATGTATCACGCATGGCACATAACTGTCTGTAGGGAGGTAACTTAATTTATATTTTTTTTATTATTATTATTTTAAAATACTCAAACTGCAAATTAAAAAAAATATTTTTTGCAATTTCAGTATCCTAGAACATTGTTTTTATAGGCATTTTAAAACATTGTTGCTATACTCATAAATAATCTTATCTCATGTTGCTTGCTTTTATAT